GCAGGGGAGGAGCAGTCATGGCCCCAGAAGGAGCAGAATATTCAGGATTAGCCCGTTAGCAATGGCTAGACGGAGCAGAAAGAGGGCTTCAGGACAGGCTGGCCCCAGCGGTCCCTCGTTTCCTCTCAGGACCCCACGAGGCTCAGCAGCTCAGATGGAGTGCGGCCGACCGCGGAAGGCAACCCACCTGCGGTGGGGTGGCGGCCTCGGCGCCTGGTCCTGGTGGGGGTGGGGGTGGGGATGGGCGAGCAGGGAGGGGTGGGTCTGGGCTGGGCTGAGCGGGTGAATCCTGGGACTCCAGGGTCCCCGTGCTGTGTGCCTGGGAGAGTGTGTCATTCAAGATGAAGTCTGGCCCAGCCTGGCCCCGGGCAGCATGTATGGCTGGTGCCTTGCTCCCAGCGAGAGTCCTCAACCTCAGAAGCTTCCCGTGGCCCTCTTCCCACCCGAAAGAAGCCTCGCCACTCACTGCAACTCTGGCCCCGTGGCTCTACCTCCTTGGCTGTCGCCTCCAGACCACGCCTGCCCTGTGCCATTCGTGGGCCCGCAGCTGGGTGAAGCCCCGTGCCCCCACGCCCCCCACCTTTCTCATCTTCTCAGAAGCCTCATTCTGTGTGAGGTGGTGCAGGCAGGAGTCAGGGGAGGGCTCGAGAGTTCTGTGAGGGCAGGTGTGCTGCGTCTATTCACATTCTGCAGACTTTATACGCCACAGCGCAGGAGGCCTTTCCCCGGGGCGATACGGGAGCTTCTAAAAGTCACTCGAGGGGCTTCTGGAAACGGCGTGTGCCTTCTTCGCTGCCCCAAGCCCCCAGCGGGAGATTACGATGAAGTAGGTCAGGCAGCGGGTAGGATGTTCGAGCATCTGTGTTATGAACACGCTCCCCCGTGCCACGGTGGTGCACCCAGGCTGGGGCTCCCTGTTGTGGCGTCTCAGTACAGCTGTGCTGTTGCCCGGGAGGAGGGGTGTGAGGGTCCTCATGCTGCAGGGCAAGGTGTCCTGGAGGGGCCCGCGAGGGAGGAGAGTGCCCTTGTCACGTGAAGTCTTTTCCCCGTTCCAGAAACTTGGCCTCGCCTTTCCGATCCTGCCACGCTTGCTCAGGAGGCCTGGCTCACAGTGTTTGGGGATGAGGTCATGGTCAAGGAGAGAGCTGTGGGCATGGGGCTTGGGATGCCTGGCCAGACTCGGGAGGGTGGAGCAAGAGCTCACGTTGGCTTAGTTATTCCAAGAGAGTCTGCTTTCCTAAAGGAAAAAGAACCACGCAAAGGAGTCTGGCGCCCTCCCGAAGGTCTTTAACGGGCTTACTCTGACTGGGAGCACTGGCTCCCTGCCTTCTGCTCCAGCCTGGGGCCAAGAAGGCCCCCAAAGAGACGGCCTGAGGCTGGGCAGGCAGCCTCATAAATGCACACTCAGCAGCTGCCTCGCTGGCACTTCCTGGGGCAGATCCTGAGCCTGGGTCAGCAGATCCGGACCTCTACACCTGCGCGTGCTCCAATGTCCCGCCCGCTTGGGCCATGGCAGGGCCCAGGAGGCGCCCTCCCTGACAGGGTGGAAGCACCTCGAGTCTTTGTTTATTTGCTCCATTCTCTCCTTCCCAGAGTCCCGGCCTGGCTCGTGGTTCGGGGAGCTCATGCCCAGGTCTCGACACGGCAGGAAGTTTCATCAGCTTGCTGTCAAGTTTTGGCCCGGAACCCCTTTGTCCAGGAAATCATCTGGGCCTGGAGGTTCTTCAACAGGAAAGGGGACCTGAGCTCCTCGAGGCGTGTCTTTGGCCCAGCCCTCCCCGACATGTGCCTGCATTGGCGTGCCTGATGCTCACAGCTGGGCTCTCTGCGGTTTCTGGTCAAAGGCCGGGTCACGAGCCGTTGCCAATGCCTGTGAGGCAGAGGGTCCCTTTGGAGCCTTAGTTGTCTCCACTCAGGAGTCGATGTTTGGATAGGTCTGGAGCCTAGCAAGGCGAGCTTCCTGGGGGACCAGGAGAAGTCCTCAGCAGAGACTCATCCTAAGAGAGGAGGGAGTGACTTGGTGACAGCAGCTCCTCCAGAGGGATGGACTGTACCGACCACAGCCTGGCGTGCTGCTCGCGGTGCCCTGTGGTCCGGCCAGGGGTCTAGGCCTGAGGATGTGCCCATGGTGGGCACGGAAGCCTGGGTAGGGCCATCGGGACAGCAGCCAGGTAACATGGCACCGTGGGGACACTAGTGGCAATAAGCAGTGCCTCAGGCTGGCATCAGGTGCTTCTTTCGGTGGGGACAAGAGCGAAGAAAACACAACAGTGCGTGTGGCACCTTATCTGGAGACTCTACCTCTCTGGGAGGCCATGAGTGACTCTTCCTTCAACTGCCCCACCCAGCGGCCGGAAAGCATGGCACACAGATGGCGGTGGACCTATGAGGGGCCTCCCTGGGCTGTTCCAGGAGTTCAGAGCCCCCCCCCCCCTTCCCTCGCCGCACTGCATGGGCTCCTACATCCCTCCCGACCTACTAAAGGAGTCCGGCCCATTTTGAGCGGGCCCAGCACCGTGCACTGTGTCTTTGGGAAGAACGTGCTATAGGTAGTAACCTGTGTGCTGTGATTTGAAGAACATGAGGAAATTTGGCTGGAAACCTTTTCCACGTTGGGGTGACAGTGTCGGGAATTTTGCCCATAGACCTGCCTTGTCTTCACAGCTTGCTCGTCTCAAAGAAGTGGATGCTCTTAGATCATAGGTGTGCATAAATTGTTCATTACTTTTTCACACGTTAACGTCTTATCTCCTCCAAGATGGTTTGAAATCCCCTACTCCTGTGCGTCGTTGGTACAATGACCTTCACTTTGTAGGTGATCATTACATTTTTTGTTCATTATGTAAAAAGCTACCTTGTGTTCGGTGGTCATAGAGGGTTAATTAGCATTATTTGAGCTGATACTTATCATATGCTAATGCACGATAGGCCATTAATGGCACGATGTAAAAAGCTACCTTGTGTTCGGTGGGCATAGAGGGTTAATTAGCATTATTTGAGCTGATACTTATCATATGCTAATGCACGATAGGCCATGCTAATGGCACGATAGGCCATTCCCTGAAGCACTGACTTCCAAGACCAGACATGCTGTGGTCAGCCGGAACTATGTCTTGTTGGGGGTTGATCCCCCTGTATTTTCACCCCTCATGCCAGCCGTATTGCAGACATTTGAAACATTTTGTTGAATGACTATAACGCAATATGTAAGTAAATAAAATATGAAATCTCAAAGGTCCAATAAGGTAACTATTTAGTGAGTGGCTGGGTTTTAACCACAGCCATAGGAAAGACAGAAAGGAAGCAAAGAATAAATGTGAAAAATAAGGGATAATCTTGCCAAGAGCCTTCAGCATGGAGGATATGGTTTTTCCTTTCTTTAAAAAAAATTTTTTGTTTACATTTATGTATTTATTTTTGAGAGACAGAGAGTGAATAGGGGAAGGGCAGAGAGAGAGGCAAACACAGATCCGAAGCAGGCCCCAGGCTCTGAGCTGTCCGCACAGAGCCCGATGCGGGGCCCGAACCCATGAACCGTGAGATCGTGACCTGAGCCAAAGTCGGAAGCTTCACCGACTGAGCCTCCCAGGTGCCCCTGGTTTTTCCTTTCTGAACCCAGGAGGGTCTATAACTCCTCCACCCACTTCGAGAGGGCTTAGCAAGCATCTTGCATTTTGTTGAGTGTGTTTGACTTGGAGACAATTCCACCTCACTTAAGTCTTGTAGTTGATGAATTTGTGCAGTAGAAAGAACTGGGGCAAAAATAAGTTTATGAAGTGTCTGTAGTTGAGGCTAAGAGGTTTTTGTGCATTAAAGACTAAAATGTGAGAATTTGCAAGGAAGGAAGTCGAACTCTCTCTGGAGTTAGGATAGGTGCCTGAAGTTCCCATGGTCTAAAGGGAGCAGACCAGCATGGACATGAATGTGGCCTCGGGACAGAACAGAATCAGGAGGTGAAGCTGGTAAAAGATCTCAACCTCGAGCAAGATCAGGCCAGAGGGGACAGGATCCAAGCCACAGTGTGGACACATCTGTGTGCTTTGTGACATTTTGGGCATATATGCACATTTCATGTTTTTTTCATCCCTTGACATGTATCCATCGAACATTAACGCGAGGCTAATACATGCCTTGTCTTCTGGTGAGCTCTCAGGAGGTTTGGTTTTTCTTTTACAAGATCACTGTCAATTCTCAACTTCTTTTGCTCTGTATTTGGAGCAGGCACAGAAGCTCCCTACCTGGAAAGATGATTTGCTCACCTCCCACTGACAGATACTTGAAAAACATCCATGTTTGATCACGGGGCCAGGAGAAGACTTCAGGAGGGACAATGATGATGATGAAGTAAAGGAAGCCTGTGACACAGGCAACTGTTTTGTAACTTGCCTGAGGACGTGATGCTGTTTGCGGTGACTTATTTCAAAAGGAGCCAGAGAGCGGAGATTGGGTTTGTCCAGCTCACAAATTGAAAGCAAAGTCTCAGAATCTTTTGTTGTTGCTTTCTTTCTTGAAATGATTTCTGATGTATAGAGAAGTCGCAAGAATAGTACAAAATTTCCCTGGATGAGCCAGATTCCCCGACTTAACACTTCACTGTCGGTGCTTTACTGCTTTCCCTTCCCCCATCTCATCTCTGTATCTCTCTGTCTCTGTCTCTCTCTACTCCTCTATCTATACACACACACAAGCCCATGGCCAGCAGCTCATTTTACTGAGGTTGTTTATTGACTGGAGGAGGTGATATGATGTGGGTCAGTGGACATCGAGGGAAAAGCTGATGGAAGTTACAGGAGGGAAGAATGTCCCTCGAAATGTACTGCTTTGCCTCTTTATTTACAAGTCTGTGTCCCTATTGAAGGAAATTACCTGACTTGTTGTTTGCCGCGGACTGTAGGTTTTTCAGTTAAAGCTTGTTTGTTTTCTTTGGAATGGAAATACTGTGGCAGTTTGTGGGAGTGAAGGCTATTGGTTCTTTTGAATAGATCTAAAAGAGAAGAATGTAGGGGTTTTGTTTCGGGTTTTACTTTAATAAACTCAATCCTGCGGGGTTTACATCCTTGGGGTTTTTATGAGAATGGAGTTTACAGTTACTCCACTGAGAAGGTTGCTGAGCACGTGAGGAGGTGAGGAGTGGAGATGTTTGCAATGAAGCGTCATGTCTTATGACAGGCCAGTCCTGGTTATAAAGACATAAAAATAAAGACAAAGTTGAGACATGACAGTTTCTGAATACATTTTTGTATTGAGTGTAAAGCTTAATTACTTTTAGCCTGACACTTTAAGCCTCAACAAAGAGGACATGGGAAACATGATTATTATGATTTTAAACATGAAAAATCATCTTTCTAAGTGTATTTACTCTTCTGTGTGCTTTGGACATCCTCCCAGTTAATGTCAGCATGATGAATCACTCCTTTAACATTGTTTCGCAGAGTCTCTCTTGGTTTGATGCAATTGGACCTTTTTTTTTTTTAGAAAAAGAAATTAAGAGTCGTTTGAATCCATATAGGAAAAGAATCACTTTTGATTTTTTTTAAGATGGAAACTATGAAACAATGAGAATGGGCTCAAGAGCCATTTGTAGATGAACTGGTTTTAGGAGGCAGGAAGAACAAGGGAGAGCAGGGGAGAGCAGGGGAGAGCCAAGGGAAAGTGCTGAGGGACAAGTGGCACACAGAAGGAGTGGGGCCCGGGGAAGGAGTACAAGTTGGGTGGAAGAAGCTGCAAGTTTCTTCTTCACTAGACTTTTATCCAATATTGGACCACAGTTGCCTCTAACCCTCAGGGGGCCACACCCTCACTGTATGCCAGACCAGCACCTTTACCCGATACTGTAGCGCATAGCAAGGGTGGAAAGATGAATAACATTGCTTGAAACGGCAAAAGAGATTCTGTTGGTGACAGGGGTGGGGTAATTCATACCAATCATCTCACTGAAAATAACCACCAGACAATTAAATGACATTTAAAACGTTCCTCAAAAGCATTAAAGAGCGAATGAGATAATGAGGAGTTAGTGGGTCAAGATTGAGAAGACGAAAATCCGAGAAGTGATGTTGCCCCTGCTTTTGACCAAGGGACAGATGAAAATCTGAAATATGGTTAAGAGAGTGAGCAGCACCTTTGCAGTCCTGTGAGATGATGGGGCATGAGTTCGGAGCCCCGAGCCCACAGGAAAAAAACCTGCCATTCTTTGGTCTCAGTCTCAGCAGCACTGTTCATCCTCGAGATGAGGGTCAAACAGAAGTAAAACAGCCCTGAACTATGGCCCAGTTCGGGGTCATCTGGGGGACCAAGAAATCTTAGGTCCTGAAATTGGAATAAAGGATAAGGAAATGATAGCACCTCAAGCCATGGCAGAGGCAAATAAAAATTAAATCTAAAAAGTAACAATTCTGGCTCCAAAATATTTCTACTAATAATTAAAAAAGTACAACGTCAAGCGTATAGTAAAAAAAACCAACAAAACAAAAAACTAGGCGCAGAAGGTACACAGTCGCCTGAGAAAGAACCATGTGAAAGAACAGTGAAAACGAGAAATAACACGCACCCCTGTAAGAATATCAGATATGGGAGTGATCAGTGAGAGACTTTATAGCAACTGTATTTACTATTTTTAAGAAGAGAAAGGATAAGTTTGAAAAATTTGGCAGATTATCGGAACCCACAAAAAGTGCAAAGCAGATTTAAATGAAAACAAAATAAACTCTAGAACTTAAAAATCCAGTAACTTAGTTAAAACTCAATATATAGATTTAATGACATATTAGATAGAGTTGAAGAGAAAATTAGTAAACTGTAAGGTTAGAGGAAAATATGCAAAATGAATCACACAAAGGCAAAAGGTAATAAGAAGACATAATACAAAGAGAGGGTATAATTAGAAAGTCCAGGGGCGCCTGGGTGGCGCAGTCGGTTAAGCGTCCGACTTCAGCCGGGTCACGATCTCGCGGTCCGTGGGTTCGAGCCCCGCGTCGGGCTCTGGGCTGATGGCTCAGGGCCTGGAGCCTGTTTCCGATTCTGTGTCTCCCTCTCTCTCTGCCCCTCCCCCGTTCATGCTCTGTCTCTCTCTGTCCCAAAAATAAATAAACGTTGGAAAAAAAAAAAAAGTCCAACACATGTCCAGTTGGAATTTTGGAAGGAGTAGCAGCAAGAGCCTCAAGAATAAAATAACTGCTCAAAATTATAATATTTATCACTAATAATTGATGAAAATAATTGCTGACAATTTTCCCAAGAGACATTAATATATATGTAAAAAATCCCAAGGAATCTTAGTCAGGATAAATATAAAGGAACTATCATGGTGTTGTTGTAGACAAATCCTTAAAACTGCCAGAGAGAAAAAGGTTACTTTTTTTTTTTTTTTATGTAGGCTTCACAAGGAGCCCAGTGTGGGGCTTGAACTCATGACCCTGAGACCAAGACCTGAGCTGAGATCAAGAGTTGGACGCTTAACTGACTGAGCCACCCAGGGACCCCAAAAGATTATTTTAAAAGGTACAGTAAATACACTGATAATTGAGTTATCAGGAGCAGCGATGGAAGTCAAAAAAGATAGTGGAATATCTTCAATATGCTGAAAAACCAAACACAAAGATCAAACTGCCAATATAGACTGTCAGTAAAAATATCTTTCAAGTATGAAGATGAAATTAAGATATTCTCAGACAAAAACAGAAAGAGTTATTACCAACAGATTGTCAATGAAGGAAACATTAAGGAGAGTTCTTTATTAGGCAAAAAGTAATCCTTGATGGAAGGTTAGAGATGCAAGAGAATAAATAAATAAATATATGAGCAAATCCGAATGACATGGATTTTATAAAACAATAATAATATTTGTGGGATCCATATATATGTGTGTATGTTATTATCTATCTATCATCCATCTATCATCTATCTTTCTATCATCCATCTATCATCTATCTATCTATCTATCTATCTATCATCTATTTCTATGTAGGATATGAAAAGCTTTAAGTTTGGAAGGGATTAAAAGGATTCTAAGGGTTCTAAGGTCCTGATACTACCCTAGAGGAGGTAAAAGTACCAATTATCAAAACACTTTGTTTTGTCCAAAACTCATGTTGTCATTTCCAGGGTAACCATTAAAAGCATACTAAAGGGGCGCCTGGGTGGCGCAGTCGGTTAAGCGTCCGACTTCAGCCAGGTCACGATCTCGTGGTCCGTGAGTTCGAGCCCCGCGTCAGGCTCTGGGCTGATGGCTCAGAGCCTGGAGCCTGCTTCCGATTCTGTGTCTCCCTCTCTCTCTGCCCCTCCCCCGTTCATGCTCTGTCTCTCTCTGTCCCAAAAATAAATAAACGTTGGAAAAAAAAATTTTTTTTAAAATAATAAAAAATAAAAGCATACTAAAAAGTATAAAACTTTTAAATAAAGAGACTGAGAAAATGGAATGATAAAAAATAGTCAATCCAGGGGCACCTGGGTGGCGCAGTCGGTTAAGCGTCCGACTTCAGCCA